GATGGTGACAAATAGTTGTCAAGCTTCAAAGGGACAAAAAAAAAGTATGAGTAAATAATGACTCAAAATTGATGTGCTATTTTGAGAAGAATTTAAATATGGACTAGATTTATGATGCATGAGTAAAAATCCCTTTAAGACATGACTAATTAAAGTTCCAGCCTAAATTACATAATTCCCTTTACGAAAAAGAGCAGATCTAGCAGATTCTCAAAAATAGAAGGTGACAAATAGCTGTCAAACTTAAAATAGGACAAAAAAAGTATCATAAAAATAACAACGAATAATGACTATTACATACTAGTAGTACCCTTTTATGTACCATGACATTCCCTTTGAAGGAAAAAAAACACTTTTTGAATTAAAATTAAATGATTCCTTATATGTTCCATGGAATAAAGAAATTAATTTGAAACAACATGAAGATGCATAAATCACAGAGTTCTATTTTTTTTTCTTTTAACTATTTAAACTTTCTGCCCAAAACACAGACAGATAAAACCATGAGTAACTCCGATAAAAGACGCCCCAAAAAACAAGAGAAATAAAGAGTGACTTTTGCAGCAGAAATGAGGCTGGGCAGAACATCAGACAGAACACAATGCATTCTAACGTAGTAATCCCACTATAATGAACGTCTGCGTGAGGTACAGTCGATTTGTCGCTTTAATTAAATGTGAGGACACAAAGGGAGCGAGGGCTGGGGTGTCCACATGGCTCCTCAGGTCACCACATAATCATGTAAGAGGATCATGCTTCCAAACGCATCCCCGTTGGCCTGCTGCTCCTCCTCTCTCCTCCCTCTAGACGTGAGCTGACACGTGGCACATGCATGTTTGTTTGCATGTATGTGCACCAGTGGCTTGCACATGGGTCCCAAATATAGCCGGCCATCAATCAAAGCCCCTCCCCTTCCTGCTCTTTTGTGGTGTTGGTTGTGATCTTAATTGGCCTGTCAGTTGCTTTCATTAGTAGGCAGAGCCATCAACACACACACAACTGAATTAATGGTCCCGGAGAGGATGGGCGTCCAATATACCACGGGTCAGAAGCCCATCCCCCGTAAAGCAGAGTAAAGCCCCTCTTACACACCTGCAACTAGCTCTGGATCAGCGATTTAAAAAAAATCCATGCACACCTCACACAAAGTTTGTTTGTTTCTTCAAAGAGTTTGTTTGTTTGTTGGAACAGATTTGGAGAAATATAGCATTGCATCACTTGCTCACCAATGGATCCTCTACAGTGAATGGGTGCCGTCAGAATGAGAGTCCAAACAGCTGATAAAAACATCACAATAATCCACGAGTAATCTAAACTCCAGTCCATCAATTAATGTCTTGTGAAGCCAGAAGCTGTGTACATCATGTTTTTTACCTTAAACCGTTGCTAAAATACGAGTCCATAAT